CCAACAGCCCACCCCCGTCGGTGTCCAACTGCTCCCTGGTAGGCAGGGAATGAGAACTCAAATGACCCCAAGAAAAACCATGCCCGCGTTGGTGTCCTTTGTTCGGGAATCCGCAAAAAGCGGTTCATTCCGATTCAACACGCGGACTCAGACGATCATTCCCCAGCTATCGCACCAGCAAGCTTGGGGTTGACAATTTGCCCTCGTTGGCATTTTTTTGTCGGGAATCGATTTCACTGGACGCAAATGGAAGTGCCTAGATATCCAAGTTCCGATCGCTTCTTTCAGTCACTGTTGCCGATTTTTGGATGGTAAAGTGCCGGGGGGAAAACAAAACGCCACTTGCGACCCAGGCCTTACCATGGGCCCAGCCCTCCTGCCCCCGAGCTTCTGCTTGGCCAAGCTGGAAGCTGCCGCCCCCCAGGAGGGCAGCACCTGCGCCAAGATGCCGCAGGCCTCGCTCGAAACCGCACGCCGGCACCGAAACCGCGAGCCGGCGGCTTCCAAAACGCGAGAGCCACGGGGAAAAAACCGGAACCCGGGCAGATCTTTTGACTGATAGACAAAATCCATTTCGCACCACCTCAGGATGGAATGAATTATTTCCCTGTAAAATACCAACCAACAATTATGTCCCATGGTTTCTAAGTGGTGCAGGATTTCGTCCATCCACAGCAGTACCCTTCCCCGGACCTTTTTGAGAATGAACCTCTGCGGGATCTTCAAATGCGGAAGAAGAAGAAGAAAAAACGCCGGCGTCACGTTCGTTTCGATTTTCGGGATCAACGGCAAAACGTCGGCGCCGCCCGGACGCGCGGACGCGCGGACGGAAGAAACGCCCAGGCGCCGCCATGGGCCGCTCCAGGCTGCCGGAGACATCAGATGCCGCCAGCCACGGAAGAAACTGCCCAAGCTGGCGGTGCAGTGCCTGCGAAACATGTATATATATATATATATACACATATGTATACATATACATACATATATATACAGACACATATGTACATATATACATATATATATTTATATATCTATACATATATGGTTGCATCTATGTACAGTACATATACACATACACATACATATCTATATGTATATATATATATATGTTTATATATACACAGACTTGCATGTTCAACCGACATAGGAAGTAGGCTATAACCATGGCTATGGCTTGGGTAACTGGGGTGATCGTCCCCCTATAGCCATGGCTACAATCTACCTGCATCCAAGTGGGCGGGGTCACCCAAAAGGGGTACCCACAAAAACGATCTACCCATATGTTCCGGGGGTCGCGACCCAAACTCAGGTGAGAGAATCAAGAAGGGCTTGCGGGACTGTGCCCAACCAAACCAAAGGAGCGCTAGGCGTTTGCTGGAAGTCACACAAGTAGGCGGGTCCGATGATACAACCCCCAACTGCAACCAAGGTGATGCAGTAAAACTGGTCTGATGAAATTACAAGTGTTCCCTTGGAAGTTACCAAGCCGCGACAACTCTCTGGCATTCATATCCCGACCGCCAACATTGGCTACCAAGGAAAATTGTCCGGACCTCGTATCTAGCTTCGCTTCAAACGTCCCCAAGCAAGCTCACAAAGTAAATTGGGAATCAAATATTGCGCCCCCATCTTGCGCTCAAACTTGGACCCTCCAAGCTCCCTACACTCCTCCCCAATAAGGTGCTTCAAGAAAAGAGAGCTCAGGAGTAAGGCTATGAGTTGGACTCCCAAGTTCTGTTCTCACAAATGACCGAACAGGTGGCTCCCACCCCAAACTGACCCACCCAAAAGGAAAACCTTGGGGAAACCACGGGAAAATGGGGAAAACCGAAGGGAAATTGCACGGAAACCAAAGCACTGAGGGAGCCAAAACCCCTACAAAACCCTATTGAACAGCACCTCACCAAAAGGAACCCACCCTAGCGGAAAATTGACCCAAGAGATCATGCTTAAGACTGCTCCACACGGGAAATACGGGTGTCTGAAAATATGGGACCTGTCCAAAGTTGCGGTTTTCCCTTTCGCTTTCCTTTGACATCCAGCCCAAAGTCCGTACGCCTATATGAGGCCCATACGAGCAGGCGCCCAATCGTTCGGTTGCACTAATGCCATAGCATGTAGAACCCTTTACTGAACAAGCCGATGCGGGCTCTGTCATTTTTTCGCATGGTCAAGACTCCCAACATGTGGGCCATGACTCGCGTCTGTCGAGCGAGCAAGGGCGCTTTGTCCCAGATTTTGCTAACGATCAGAAAAATATAATCGCGAGTATTGATCCTCAACATAGATTCAGGGGCCAGCATAGGTGAAGCAGCTGCAACGCATTTGGCATGTTGTCAAGGAACAGCTTCGAAACCCGTCAGCATGGCAGGCCAAAGGGCGCCGACACATTGGGCCATGGGTCAAAAGCCCGCCAGCGAACATCCCAATCCCAACTAAAATAGACCAAAATGGGTGGAGCGCCTACCCCAGAATGGTACCATTGGTTTTGACCCACAGCCAATTGGGCCAAAGGTCATTTCCGTAGGACTCCTGGTCTAAGTTCCACCCAGAGAATCAATGGCCATCCCTTCGGAAATCCTTCGTTCGCCAAATTGCAAGCAGGGAAACAAAGGAAGCCCAGCGTAAAATCATTCAACCCACGGCTTCTGGTTGAAGCTTCTTTGAGCAACTCATGCTTCCCTCGTGCCAAGCCCTCAACGTTTCGTTGGCATCCGTGCCATGGCGGCCCTAAAAGCAGGCGCCTAGATAGCCAAGTTGCTGCTTTTTTCAGTCACGGTTGCTGTTTTGTTGGGTTTTAGTGCATGAAAAAAAAAACGCCACTGGCGATCCAGGCAACCATCCAATTAAAGAGGGAAGCTGATCATCAGAGGGAAGCTCATCATACCACCAAGAAAACCAGGGCCATCCCCCTCTATTTTTCCAGCAAAACCGTCCCAAAAAGCACACCTATGGTTGGCATCCGTACCCTGGCGCCCCTAAAAGCACCCACTCTTGTCCCCAAGCAAAACCCTCCCTGCCCTCACTTCCGCCCGCCTCTGGTCGCTCCAGACTCAGCTGCTCCAGCAAGGCAAACGAAGGGGCGCTGCCCTCGCGGGAGGAGTCCTCCACAGTCTCCGGGCTGGATCCTGGAGGCTTCGCAAGTGGGGGGGCTGTGACTATAAAAAAGAGAGGAAGAACTAGGGCAAACCGCAGGTTTTAGTCTTTGGTTCCATTTACCAAGGGGGCTCGCAATCATGGGTGTCCTTTTTGGTGTGGAAATAGATGGCCCTAGTTGATTTGTGGCCCCGGTATGATGGCCACTTAGGGTATATTGTTCAACCTCCTTCATTTAGGGAATTGGTTTCTTAGGGTTTGAGTCATGGGTGTCATTTTGGGTTGAAAATAGATGGGTTCCCCTGGCTGATTAAACCACCAGGTGAACCAGGGCTGCTCGCAAGTGGGGGTGTGGCTCCAAAAGAAAGAGAGAGGACTCACCCATCTCTTGGTGCGAAATCGCGAGGGAAGGAGAAGTGGAATGAACATCGGTGGCCTTTTTGGTTGAAAAAGGGTATAATAGACGGGTTGCCCTGGTAGTTGACTGAACCACCAGGCAAACCAAGAATCGCTCGATTTTTCTTTGGTAGGTAAGAACTAGGGCAAACCGCGGGGTTTGGTCTTTGGTTCCATTTAACAAGGCCATTTGGGTACATTTTGTTGAGCCACGGCCTGGTCAATCTCCTGTCATGGTTCCCTTTTGGCGGATGATAGGAAAAATTATCTTCGGAACCCCCTTGTTGGTGGGTGGTTAAAAAGGGCAACCATTTGAAAACCAACCTTTCTAGGGAACCCTATTTTCAGAAACACCCAAATATTCTAACCCACACACGGGTTTTGGGACGTGTTCTTAATGACCCAGGCTGGAAGCCAGTGCGAATGTGACTGCACTCTTGTCGGCCTATTGTTGGTTTGGAGGGGGAACGAGACACCATATATTCGTCGCAAGCGGAAGTCGTATGGCTGTGGGTCAAACCAATGGTATCATTTTGGGGTTTTCGGTGCACCTCCCGTTTTAGTCTTTTGTAGTGGGGATTGGGATGTTCACTAGGGGTACGGGATTTTGACCCATGGCCAGATATTTGTCGCAAGCGGAAGTCATATCAACCCGCAGTGATACGGTTGGTTCTCTGCAAGTCCAGACCAACCAAGACTCTCACTTCCTGAGTGGATGGCCCTAAAACCAGGTAACCAAGCTTGTTGTCTACCACTCAAATGACCCAAACCCAACAAGTTTCTCAGGGAGTGATATGCCAAACCAAGCGAAATCCAACAACCAGGCAGAGCCGCACACTATCTCAACCTCTCAGTGCTTACCTCCTGCACGCACCTGCCGCCACCCTCCCCCCATAGGTTGAAACCAATCCTGCTCAAACAAAATGAATTCGGGCTGCCTGGATGTCCCTTTCTTCAAAAGTGGATCATTTTGCTGCTGGGCTCTTTTGAAACGATAGGTGTCCACTTTTGGAGGCTCCAAAAGTTGGAATTTGGGCGGCTCGTCCTTCTCTTTAGGAATCGAACCCCCAAAAGGGGCGCCTTTACAACAAGCAACAACGGGTACCAACTCAAAAACAGACGAGCCGCCCATGTCAATTTGGGTTCCCTGAAGGGAGGAGGCCGTGGTCCATTCGCCCAAAGTTGGATCACGATAGCCGAATTTTGGCTGCTGTTCATCCGCCTGCACTTGCCCACCCGAATCTGTGCCCTCTTATTTTTGCCCTGGTGTAGTTGTCGGCAAATAACGAGAGATCCAATGACTAAGGGTTTCAGGCGAGCTCTCTGACGAAGGTCATTTACTTGAGCCCTCAATGAACATGGTCGTGAAAAGCCCTAAACCTACTTTGAATGAACAAAATCCATTTCGCACCACTGAAGAAACCATGATAAATTGTTTTTGTGCAAGGAAACTCATCATTCCAGGCTTTGTTCGGTGGTGCAGGATTTCGTCCATCCACAGTAGGATC